TTGATTCTCTTTGCTATTGTGACACTCATTATTAAACCTACTAGACTTGTCCGGCCTCTCAGGCCCCTAATGCTCATCGGTCTCATAGCAAGACCTTTCTCATTCCAGCATCGGCTGCCGTCGGCAAATGTTCTCATCTGTATAATTAACTGCCTCACGTACTCGCCTCCGTCTGGTACATTACCTGCATGCTTTGTCCTTCTACCGAAATTGAAATTTCAGGTCCCTGGCTGAGTTTGGCCTCTCGGCTCTACTCTCATGCTTCTCAGATCACAATTACGTCCCACTCTCTTGTTTGGCCTCTTCTCTGGTCCATATCGCATTGGTTCAGTGGCGGTATAGGTATCACTAGCGTCAGCGCAACATCCTAGGCCTCCTTTGATTCCCTTTGCTACTGTGGTACTCATTCTTAAAACTTTTCGACTAGTCCGGCTTCTCAGGCCCCAAATGTCCATAGGCATCAAACCAAGGCCTCTCCTCTTTTGAGGATCGGCTGCCACCGATTAAGGTTCTCATTGGTATAATTAACTGCCTTGTGTGCTCGCCTCCGTTTGATACATTATCTGCATGCTTGGTCGTTCTACGGAAATTGCAATCTCAGGTCCCTGGTTGAGGTTTGCCTCTCGGCTCCATTCTCATGCTTCTCAGCACACAATTACGTCCCCCTCTCTTGTTTTGCCTCTCTTTTGGTCTATATCGCAACAGTTCAATGGCGGTATAGTTATCACTAGCGTCAGCGCAACATCCCAGGTCTCTTTTGGTTACCTTTCCTTCTGTGCGTCTCATTCCAAAACATTTTGGCCAAGTCAGTCCTCTGAGGCTCCAAATGCCTATAGGTCTCAAGCCAAGGCCTCTCTTATTTTGAGCACCGGCTGCCATCGACTCAAGTTCTCATTGGTATAAGTTACAACCTTATGATACTCTTCTTTGTCTGAATCATTATCTCTATGCTTGGTAACGCCTACCGAAATCCGAATTTCCGGTCTCTGATTGAGTTTGGCTCTCGGCTCCACTATCATGCATCTCAGCTCACATTAACGTCTTCCTCTCTTGTTTGGCGTCTCTCTTCGTTCATATCGCAACTATTCATTGGCGGTATAGGTACCACTAGCCTCAGCTCATCGGTCACTCCATTGATTTCAGCCAGCACAACTTTACCATAAATTTTATATTTATACAATAACATAGTCCTGTTCAATTTTGTTGGCAGTTTGCTCGGTCCGTTTTTCTTCTCACCCTTGTTCTACAGGATAACATTACCTGCACCGAACACCGCTGAAGACGTACCTGCGACGCTCCCATGGACACGGATTCAATAAAGAACAAAGAAAAACCCGCACTTCATAATCATGACACACTAAAGAACCTAGGAAACTGATCAATTCAATACAAGTCACCTGAGTCGTCCGACTTCAACAGGTCCAACCACTTGTACTGGACTCCGAAGGCGACTACACAGCCATAGGAAACAAATTGGCGTTACGTGACTGCGAATATCCGCGAGGGTAATCGGTCAGATACAATCTTGCCAATGTTATATCAACAGCCGGCAGTGTTCCAGGACGTGGTGGGTCTTCGTCTGGCAAGCGTTTTCCCTACAAAAAGCCACAAATGTCTGTTTAACAACACTGCGACGTGGCGGATGTGACTCGCCACTCAATAAAGTCACCGCCCCTAACACATTGGCAAGTTGACCGACACCACATTTACAAGTTCTGTGCATATATCGGCTCTCGCACGAACACGCCTACATATCTGATTAGTGACATACCACTATTCTTAAGTATTTTCACCCGTTTCCTCATACTTCACTCAATGACACACTAAAGAACCTAGGGAACTGATCAATTTAATACAAGTCACCTGAGTCGTCCGACTTTAACAGGTCCAACCCCTTGTACTGGAATCCGAAAGCGACTACACAGCCATATGAAACCAGTTCAAGTTCAGTTGGGGACCGGAACGATAGGATAATCCCGCGAATGTTCCTTCTTTTGCGTATCGTTGGATCGGGAATTGACAGGTCTGCTTGAGAGGTTGAAAAGCAAAAACAAAGACCGCATCACACCAGGTCCAACCAATTACTGCCCACATTTTCCTGCCCAGCAGTCACTGCCAGGCCGGTTTATGTGAAGTAAAAAAGTGAAGGGTAAGCTAAGAAAACAAGAGGGGGAATGTCACTTAAATAATGATCATACCAAGGTGAGAAGAAAATTAAAAAAGAACGAGGGGAAAGTTGAAGACACAAGTCGGTTAGGAGAAGGAGAAGGATTGGTACTGCCACCCTAGAGCATCTAACTGACGCTCGAAAGCCTCTAACGTTATGTGGCTGCGAATATCCGCGAGGGTTTTCGGTCAGATACAATCCTGCCAACGTTATATCAACAGCCGGCAGTGTTCCAGGACGTGGTGGGTCTTCGCCTGGCAAGCGTTTTCCTTACAAAAAGCCACAAATGTCTGTTTAACGACACTGCGACGTGGCGGATTTGCCTCGCCACTCAATAAAGTCACCGCCCCTAACACATTGGCAAGTTGACCGACACCACATTTACAAGTTCTGTGCATATATCGGCTCGCGCATGAGCACGCCTACATATCTGCTTCGTGACATACCACTATTCTTAAGTATTTTTCACCCGTTTCCTCATACTTCACTCACGGACTTACGTTGCTTACGGGACCTCATCGGACTAGTTCCTCATCAACATACCATATAAGTGATCTGATTATTATCTTTACCTCTCGCATTCTGTGTACATAGACTACATACAACATTTGCGCTCTATGGGCCCACACTACCGTCTCCATCTGTACTACTCCCACTGTTAATGCTGCTTATTCCGCTATCATTTACAATGATGCAATATGCTGATCATGCCCAAAAGGCGTATCTCGCTTTGTCGATAATAAAATATTTATTTATTTACTTATTGGAAAACAGTGTTAGAAATCAATAGGTAAGTGGTCATACTAGTGAATCAACAAGTATCAAGCGTTACTCATTGATCCACGTCACCAGTCGTTCACGTGTGAGGCATTTCTTTTTGCAGCTGCTGAGCCACGCTCCGACCTGAGTTCGTCCGCCGACACTTTCTCTGGCTGACCGGGTTAACACAGACCGCCTCGCATTCGGTAACTCCACCCCGTCTATTCTGTTCACAGCTTTTAGTCTTAGTAATCTCGATCGCCTCAGTAATCATCCTTTGGCCCGTTGCTGGTAAGGCCTTCTTAAGTATCTCGACATTGTCCCAATCATCCGCGTGTCCGGCCTCTAGCGCATGTACTGCCACGGCTGAATCTTTTCGTAGGGTCCTGTATTCAGGCTCATTTCTCGATGGACTTGCAACGTACCGCTTGTGTTCTGCTATCCTCGTGCGTAGCTCTCTAGCTGTTTGACCTATATACACGTGTTCACAGTCTTGTTCCTGTGAACTAGGCCTAGTTTACAGGAACGTGGAGGGCTATACACGACGATATATCGCAAGCCTACAGCTACGGACGAAGTGATTCGTTGCGGTTCTGGTTATTCAAAAGAAGTCCATACCGCTATCGCATCCTCTCTGTTGCGCAGAGCCCAGATTCCGTGTACAGAGTAGGAGGACAGGAAGGCCGCTTCTAAAGAGACGGTGAGCAACTTAGTAGTCAGTGGATATCCGAGGCGGTTAGTGAAACGCAAATTTCAGAGAGCTTTAAATCCACCTCATCGACGCACAAAGGAGTGAATTGGGACAGTGGAAACCCCCATAAAAAGGGAACCTCAGAGGCAATCAGACGAGTACTAAACAAGGAGAATATAAGTGGTTTTTCGAAAAGTTCAAACACTCTGTTAACACATGTGCGTTTGAAGGATCCACTTCCAAGTAACAGGACGACAAATTGTGTTTTGAAATCAATTGCAAAGACTGTGAACACGTGTATATAGGTCAAACAGCTAGAGAGCTACGCACGAGGATAGCAGAACACAAGCGGTACGTTGCAAGTCCATCGAGAAATGAGCCTGAATACAGGACCCTACGAAAAGATTCAGCGGTGGCAGTACATGCTTTAGAGGCCGGACACGCGATTGATCGGAACAATGTCGAGATCCTTAGGAGGGCCTTACCAGCAACGGGCCAAAGTATGATTACTGAGGCGAGCGAGATTACTAAGACTAAAAGCTGTGAACAGAATAGACGGGGTGGAGTTACCGAATGCGAGGCGGTCTGCGTTAACCCGGTCAGCCAGAAAATGTGTCGGCGGACAAGCTCAGGTCGGAGCGTGGATCATCAGCTGCAAGAATAAATAAATAAATAAATAAATATTTATTCTCGACTATGCGAGGCACGCCTATGGAGGCATGATCAGTTTTGTGCATTTGTAAAGACACATTATGTTAACTGCAACAGTGACATTAGCAACTTATTCATATATATAAGTAGTTTGTTCTCAACTTTCTTCAGACACACCAAATCAGGCGTGATCAAGGTTTAAAGTCAGTTGTGTATCGCGACGATACTTAGGGTTCAATCGTTTGTAGTTGAAACGGTCAAGACACTATAAGTGCAAGGTAACAGTGTTTGTAGACGGAGCGCAACATATTCTTGAATGTGTCGGGAAGAGTTGAGATGTGAGTATAGTCGACCTGCTAGTATGTACTTGTGGGCAGTGGCTTTATTCAGTGGCGAGTCGCATCCGCCACGTCGCAGTATTGTTAAGCAGACATTTGTGGCTTTTTATAGAGAGAACACTTGCAAGGCGAAAACCCACCACGTCCTGCAACACTGCCGTAAAGCATTTTGAACATTAATGTATAACTGGCAAAGTCGTTTGATGACTGCTTTTGCATTCGGTAATTCGCAGACAAATGGCTCCTAATTTGCTCTGTTAGTTGGACAGGTAGTTTTATCGGGGCCGCCATGATTGATGAGGTCGGTTGCGGAGGGAACGTCGCGAATAGTCGTCTTGTTGTGTGTCCAGGTAAGCAAAAGATCTAAGTTTCTGACGTCTGGATTTTTCAGATGTATAATGTATGGAAGTATGAAGATGTGTCCAGTTCTCCATACTGGACAAAGATTTTGGTGATGGTAGTTGGGTCCTTTTGGTGTCCAACCATGCTCCATGTAAGTCCCTGTCGGTGGTTAAATCCGTCTTCGGCGAAAATTGTTCCTCAGTCCAATACCAGATCTCCAAGAAGTTCCGGACCTCGGAGAAAAGGGAAGTGAGGAACAACCAAGAGAATACCGCAAAAATAGGCATGCAGTTAAACATTGTTAAAGTCTTATGTTATAGCATTTGGTCTGGAAACAAAAGCATGTACATTGTGCAACAATAATTATGTTGAAAGTGTCTTTTGAATATCCTATAGAATCAGCCGTATAGGTGGATTGCTAACGCCTGCGCAGAGAGGTGAGCGTTGTACCAGTAAGTAAGCTACGTAGTATTGTTTTGGTATGAGCCAAAAGTTGCGTGGGGAAGAGCAAAGAGAGTTAGTATTGGTCGTGATTGCAAGGTGTATGGATAGCAAATAGCGTAATAGGATAGGGAGCGCAGAATAAATAAAAATAATTAGGTTGCCGCAAGAGAGATCTAAAGGTCAGTTGGCGGCAGGGCAGCGGAAAGATTGAATGCGGATATACTAAAGGAATAAAGGTTACTGAGATATGGAGTGGCTCCTAACGAGCACTGTGTAATCGCATGTGTGGAGCTTGCTACCACTAAAAAGAGGTGCGCTACTCCTAAACAGAGGAATGCCTCACATGTGAACGACCGGTGACGTGGATCAATGAGCAACGCTCGATGCCTGTTCCTTCACTAGCATGGCCACTTACCTATTGACCTCTAACACTATTATCAAGTGGTTCATGTTGTCTTGCAACTTTCAACTTACGTTCATATAAAATGCTAAGCCAAGTTTGTAACGATTCATCTGTCCTGAAGTAGCTCTTGTGTCAAGGGCGTGGTGTTGCCACAATAAAACCCTATCAAAACCGATTTGTGTTTCATCTTTCTGACATCATGAAATCCTAGTCTGTTCCAAGCATATTCCAAGAGATTTTATCGCTGGGTACCTTTGTAGATGACAGTTACCAGCTGGCCTTAATGGACGTGTTTGCATTGAGCCTGAGTACTAGCTAATTTACTCCGCCCTTTCCAGCTACAGTTGTTAAACATACTGCTATATATATAAATATATATATATATATCTTGCAACTTGTCTATAGAGAGAACACTAAAAGTTATAGGTCAAAGTATCAGACATTTTGCCCCCTACTTAACTTCCCTTTACCCCATAGCTTTAGCTGTTATTTATGTGCCTATCCCATTGGCAATCCTAGTAGACAGGTATCATGAAGACCAGATTCTATTCTTCACCCGCTTTTGTTAGTAAAACATCCGCAGTTCCAGATACCCTTTCACTGGCACGGAAGATAACCAAAGAGAAAGGCCCCATGTCATACTGGCTGGCTAGACATCCGAAAGATTTTGACTACCGCTTTGCCTTATCTCGGCAGCTCGTGCGTTTTTTTATCTTGTACATGGCTCCAAAGCCTACCATGCCTTGGGGGTAATGGTTGGTGAACAACCAGCTCCCCTGGGTTTGCTACTTACTATCCTACGCTTGCTTTGCCTTATCATTTTTGCCTAGGGTGCTAGAACGGCCCTTGACAGCAAAACTAACAAGACACTAGCTGGTATAACATTAGGGTACTAGTAAACCTTGCCTTCTGGAAGGAAATCGCTAGCACGAACTTAACCAATGAGCTGTATAATAGTTTTCGGCAACACACGATGCATATTACTCCCTCATGTTTGAGCGAGCTCAATCCACGGAAGTAGGGTTGGTGATGCCACAACAACACAGACCCAAAGGATATCACGCCCAAAGCGTTTTGCTGCATTTTGCCAACTTTTCTGATACCTGGTTCCTTATTATTAGCGACAGGCTCTTCTACCTCGCTGGTGTTGGAGATCTAGCCTTATGTGTATAGAAAACTGGCCCTGGTTGGGTGAAGCCTGGAGTACTAGGCGGTACTCAATGACACGTAAGGGAAATATTTCCTACGGTACCGGATAGATGCTAGAGGTGACTGAACACAACGTATATTGTGCAGACTATAAAAATAGGTAGGGAGTCTAAGAGAGCGAGGAAAGGTGCAGTAGGCTACTCACCAAAGCCATTTGTGTCAACGGAAGTGCCTTCAGTAAAACAAGTGGACGTCTTGAAGGTTAGAACAACTGTAAACTCCAATGTTAAAAAATACTAAAACAGCGTGTTTTCCGGTACACAAAAAGGGCATCCCCTAGCAGGCTGAAGAATGGAAGCCTTCGATGGAGCTGTTAGTAGGGGAAGACGGTAGGTGAGGATGGGTGTGAATAGTTGCACGGCCATGAGTAAGGGCTTCCAAGGTCGGGTGCATAGCAGAGTTCGCTGGGTCCAAGCTTTTGTTATTTATTAATGCGTGCATCATCGGTGGGCCGTCGGGGAGGACTGATCGGCCTACAAAATCTGGCTCGTCCAGAAAAATGGCCGACATAACCTTCCCTTGGCTGCAGACCCGACGGTGAGCTTGGGAGGTGACAATCCCCACAACACTCCAGTCCACGGTCCTCGTCCCAGGAAGAAATACGGGCGTCCTCGTCCCACGAAAAAACACATGCGTTATCGTCCCACGAAGAAATCCGGCGTTCTCGTGGGCAACGTCCACCCAGGCGTTTGGGGACCAAACCGTTCGTGGCTGTTTGTGGCCGAGGGCAAAGGACTGTTCCTTTGGTCTGGAAGAGGCCCTGGGTTGTCTGGCGAGTCAATAGTGGGTTGCGTTGAGCCGGTTGACGCGTCACACGAAGGTTGCCTTGGCAATTCCGGCAGTTGAGTTTCTGGAAGCTATAACTCAGGGGGGTGGGAAAGGGTCGTTGGAAGTGGCTTGACGCCGGAGAGAGAACGTGGTCTGCATGATAAAAGCAAATAAGTATTTTAGCTTTTTAAAATGCTTTGGGATTTTTGTTGACTTTGAAAAACGTTTGTAGATGAGACGCACGATAACCACTAATGTAACTTATTAGCAACTTATTCGCACCCGTTCGATTCTCTTTGCTACTATGGCACTCCTCGTTAAACCCATTGGACTACTCCGGCCTCTCAGGCTCCAAATGCCTATAGGTCTCAAGCCAAGGCCTCTCTTCCTCTGAGGATCGGCTGCCATCGATTAAGGTTCTCAATGGTATAAGTAACGGTTTCATGATTCAGGTCTCCGTCCGATTCATTATCTGTACGCTTGGTCCCCCTACCTAAATCGAAAGCTCATGTCCTAGATTAATCTTGCCTCTCGGCTCCACTATCATTCTTCTCAGCTCACAAGTATCGTCTCCCTCTCTTGTTTGGCCTCTCTTTTGGTCCATATCGCATCGGTTCAGTGATGGTACAGGTACCTCTAACGCCAGCGCAACTTACTAGCCCCCGTTTGATTCTCTTTGCTAATGTGGCACGCATTATTAAACCTACTGGACTTGTCCGGCCTCTCAGGCCCCTAATACCCATCGGTCTCAAAACAAAGCCTCTCCCATTCGAGCATCAGCTGCCGTCGGCAAATGTTCTCATTTGTATAATTAACTGCCTCACGTACTCGCCTCCGTCTGGTACATTACATGCATGAGTTGTCCTTCTACCGAAATTGAAATTTCAGGTCCCTGGTTGAATTTTGCCTCTCGGCTCCACTCTCATGCTTCTCAGATCACAATTACGTCCCCCTCTCTTGGTTGGCCTCTTCTCTGGTCCATATCGCATCGGTTCAATGGTGGCTTAGGTTCCCATAGCATCAGCACAACATACTAGGCCACATTTGATTCGCTTTCCTACTGCGCCACGCACTCTTAAACCTCCTGGACAGCACCGGCCTCCGGCTCCAAATGCCCATAAGTCATAAACCATTGCTTTTCTTCCTTTAAGCGTCGATTACAGCTTTCATTAGCATAAGCAACAGCCTCATGGTACTGGCCTCCGTCTGCCTCATGACCTGTATGCTTGGTTCCCTGCAAAATTGCAATTTCAAGTCTCTGATTGACTTTTGTCTCTCGGCTCCACCATCATGAATCTCAGCTCACAATTACGTTCTCCTCTCTTGTTTGGCCTCTCTTTTGGTCCATATCGCATCGGTTCAATGGCGGTATAGGTATCACTAGCGTCAGCGCAAAATCCTGGGCTTCCTTTGATTCCCTTTGCTACTGTGGTACTCAGTTTTAAACTTTTTCGACTAGTCCGGCCTCTCAGTCCCCAAATGCCTATAGGCATCAAACCAAGGCCTCTCTTCTTTTGAGGACCGGCTGCCACCGATTAACGTTCTCATTGGTATAATTAACTGCCTTGTGTGCTCGCCTCCGTTTGATACATTATCTGCATGCTTGGTCGTTCTACGGAAATTGCAATCTCAGGTCCCTGGTTGAGGTTTGCCTCTCGGCTCCATTCTCATGCTTCTCAGCACACAATTACGTCCTCCTCTCTTGTTTTGCCTCTCTTTTGGTCTATATCGCAACAGTTCAATGGCGGTATAGTTATCACTAGCGTCAGCGCAACATCCCAAGTCTCTTTTGGTTACCTTTCCTTCTGTGCGTCTCATTCCAAAACATTTTGGCCAAGTCAGTCCTCTGAGGCTCCAAATGCCTATCGGTCTCAAGCCAAGGCCTCTCTTATTTTGGGCACCGGCTGCCATCGACTCAAGTTCTCATTGGTATAAGTTACAACCTTATGATACTCTTCTTTGTCTGAATCATTATCTCTATGCTTGGTAACGCGTACCGAAATCCGAAGTTCCGGTCTCTGATTGAGTTTGGCTCTCGGCTCCACTATCATGCATCTCAGCTCACATTAACGTCTTCCTCTCTTGTTTGGCGTCTCTCTTCGTTCATATCGCAACTATTCATTGGCCGTATAGGTACCACTAGCCTCAGCTCATCGGTCACTCCATTGATTTCAGCCAGCACAACTTTACCATAAATTTTATATTTATACAATAACATAGTCCCGTTCAATTTTGTTGGCAGTTTGCTCGGTCCGTTTTTCTTCTCACCCTAGTTCTACAGGATAAATTGCCTGCACCGAACACCGCTGAAGACGTACCTGCGACGCTCCCATGGACACGGATTCAATAAAGCTCAAAGAAAAAACCCGCATTCATAATCATGACAAACTAAAGAACCTAGGAAACTGATCAATTCAATACAAGTCACCTGAGTCGTCCGACTTCAACAGCTCCAACCACTTGTACTGGACTCCGAAGGCGACTATACAGTCATAGGAAACAAACTGACGTTCCATGACTGCGAATACCTGCGAGGGTTTTCGGTCAGATACAACCTTGCCTATGTTAAATCAACAGCAGGCAGTGTTCCAGGACGTGGTGAGTCTTCGCCTGGCAAGCGTTTTCCCTACAAAAAGCCACAAATGTCTGTTTAACAACACTGCGACGTGGCGGATTTGCCTCGCCACTCAATAAAGTCACCGCCCCTAACACATTGGCAAGTTGACCGACACCACATTTACAAGTTCTGTGCATATATCGGCTCGCGCATGAGCACGCCTACATATCTGCTTCGTGACATACCACTATTCTTAAGTATTTTTCACCCGTTTCCTCATACTTCACTCACGGACTTACGTTGCTTACGGGACCTCATCGGACTAGTTCCTCATCAACATACCATATAAGTGATCTGATTATTATCTTTACCTCTCGCATTCTGTGTACATAGACTACATACAACATTTGCGCTCTATGGGCCCACACTACTGTCTCCATCTGTACTACTCCCACTGTTGGTGCTGCTTATTCCGCTATCATGTACAATGATGCAATATGCTGATCATGCCCAAAAGGCGTGTCTCGCTTTGTCGAGAATAAAATATTTATTTATTTATTTATAATGGGGCTTTAATGGAAATAGCCAAACTTTACAAAGCCTGAAAAACGGACTTTTGACGTTTGACCTGCATACCGCATCGGTCGGTTCCTTGGGTTTAGGCGGGGTAGGTAGAGAGTCAACGGGAACGGATGCTTTCGGGATGTCCGGTGCTAGGGCAATCACTGCAGCTGCGGGTGCTTATGTGATAGCATTAGAATGGTTTGAAAGTGGGTTGCCACAGAATGCCACTTTGAGGCGGCCGATGGACACCGTTGTTCGGTAAACACTCTGGTCTAAATTGGAATGTTTTAGCCAGTTGCAGAACTCTGAAATCCCCAGTGTATGGTGGCTGGCGAGGGCGCCACACCGCATCAAAGCGGAAGAAGACGTGAGTACATGTAGAACGTCCGCTGCGCGCTTGCGCATATCTAATGTGATCACGGGGCGGAGTCGGGCGTAGTGAACGTATGCGTGGAGCTGGGGAGGACGCAAAGTTAGGCGAAGGCATAGCCGACGATGCGGGAGGTGCAACGAATTCTCCTGGAAACTTTAACGTTGTGCCGTAAAACCGCTGTGTTGGTGCACATTGCAAGTCAGCTTTGATGCTGCTGCGAATGCCTAAGAGTACGAGCGAAATGTTTTCGCTTCAGCTAGGGTTCCAGGAGACCCAGAGCGAGGATTTAAACTGTCTGTAGAAGCGTTCAAATACTCATTGGTTGCTGGGAGATACGCTGTGGTATGGATGCGGCGACAACCTAAAAGGTTGCAATACCCATCGAAATGTGTAGATTCGAAAGGCGTTCCTCGGTCAGTTGTGATGATGGATGGGCATCCGTAGTGCGCGATCCACCGATATAAGAAGGCCCGGTTAACAGTCTCAGCTTGCAGTCTGTTACGGGAATGGCTTATGGCTATCTGGTGAAGCGCTCGACACACGTAAGAATGTATACGAAGCCGCGAGAAGGATGCAATGGACATACCAAGTCTACATGTACATTCGCGAACCGAGAGTCGGGGCAAGAAATGAACCATGAGGACTAGGGTGTGATGATACACTTTTGAGGGCTGACATCGAAGGCATTCGCGAACCCAGGTACGCACAGCATTGTTTACGCGCGGCCAAATATAGGTTGGGTGACCAGTTTCAAAGATGCACGGATGACGGGATGTGATAGTGAGTGCAGTGCGTCAAAGTCTGTGCGTCTGAAGGAGACGGGCACGAGGGGTCCAGGACAACCGGTGCAGTGTCATAGAGAATGGTTTCTTCGGTGGTTTGAAGAGACTGGTTGCAGTTGTAGCGAAGTTGTATGCAGGGTGCGCTGTATGTCTTCGGCTTGAGCCTGAACCGATGCCATGGCGGCAATGTCGACGGTAGGCAAAGACTGGAGAATGAGGTAGCCGCCTGCGAACGTCGGCGGCGGGTTTGCTTACACTTGAGAAATGACCTAAGTTAGCAGTGAACTGCGTGACAAAGTCTAAGTGGCTTGTTCCCCGTGGTAAATATTTGTCGCAAGCAGAGTTGAAGGCAAATCTAAGAGGCTTCTGTTCAGTGTAGAGCGTGAAAGCGCGGCCTTCGAGTGTGTGCCAGAAGTGACGTATCGCTAGGTAAATGGCGAGCCGTTCTCTGCCAAACGTGCCATGGCGGGCTTCCGCTGGCTGCAGGCGCTTGGAGCAGAACCCAAGGGTTGCCATTGCCCACCAACGTGTTGTTGAAGGACGGCTCCTACCGCGACATCTGAGGCATCGGTCGCAATAGAAAGAGGTGCAGTCAACTCAGTATGAGCGAGGAGAGCTAGGTTGGAGATAGCATCCTTCAGGTCAGCGAAGGCTGTCTGTGCTGTGTCAGGGAAAGCGAATTTACGTGCATACCCACTGAGTAGGTTAGTAGAGGTTGCATGAGCTAAGCGCAGCGCGCATTGAAGCGTCGATAGTACTTGACCAAACCACAAAATCAACGGGGGTGATTTAACCAAGTCTGACCTGGGAACTCCTTGATTGCCTGGATCTTATCAGGAAGACATTCGATACCAGCTGATGAAACCAGGTGGCCTAGGAACTCTACCGTTGCTTTGCGAGTTCGCACTTAGTCGGGTTGACTGTGACACCGTGCTGGGTCAAGCGCTTGTAGACAGTTCAAAGATGTTCGAGGCGCACTTTTCCGCTGAACTGGCTATTATAATAGCACCGAGGTAGAAATAAGCGAAGTCCAGTCCACCAGCGACGTCGCGGATGAAGCTTTGGAAGGTTTGTGCGGTGTTGCACAGTCCACGTGGCATTCTTAAGAATTCAAGCAAGCCGTAAAGAGTGATGACGGCTGTTTTAGGAGCGTCATTTCTTCTACGCGTATCTGGTGATAGGCGCGAACCAGATCGATCTTGATGAAGATCGTCTTACCTGTGAGGCATGCGATAAGTTCCTGCATATGTGGGATGGGATGACTATCTAAATATCTTAATAAATAAATAAACAAATAAATTTTGTGTTCTCGACTAAGCGAGGCACGCCTGCGCAGGCATGATCATGTTAAGAGTACAAAATGTGATCAGTTAAT